TATACTGCAAGTGGGTTTCTGTTTAATACAATTTGGACGTGTGAAAAAAAGTAGAAATAATATTGAATTTTTATTGAAAAGGTAAGCATAAACAGAATATATAAAAATTACAAATGTTTGTGAGTAAAACATGTATTTTCTACAATTGAAACTATTTCTAAAAATTTAAAATAACTCTTAAGTCCTCAGTTTTGTTGAAAATAAGTGTAAAAAATATTTATACCATGCGTTTTATTTCTAGAATTGTTAGGATTACGTTCTGAAATGAATAAAATTAATTTTTATATTTTTTTTTGTGCAATGAATTAAAATTACTGTAATCTTATTACACAAATGTCAAGAACGTGGGTAGCGTAAGAAGTGGCAACATTGCACAGCCTCAATATACGTTATGTCAAGAAAATTTAAGAACAAGAGTCTGCGGCTCAAAAGTTTTTTAAAATTCCCAGAAAAAAATCAGTTTTTATGTATTTTTTTTATTAAATGGCGTTTAGGGGTCGACCCGATAGAAATAAAGAACAATTATCTCTTTAAAGCTACCTTGATGCCGTTTTTTTTAACCGAATGATATTTTTTATATTACTGGAACTCTAATGTGACTTCAATACCTACTATGACAGTTTTTTTTATTCTATTAAGGATTAACCCTGAACGTGTTTTTGACAATTTAGTTAAAACACAAGAGTAGAAAAATATGGGAAACTTAATAAAACACTGATTGACCCTAAAATATTTTATTTAAAGCATTTTTTCTTAGGGGTATATTAATGTATATTTTATTTAAATCATTCTAGGTCTAGGTACTTAAAAATAAATATATTTCTTGTCTTTTTACTTGAGATTTGTGCAATCTATTAGGTAAAAAAAATTATTTACAAGATATTTTTTAAAAAATATATCACTGTGCATTAATTCCAGCTTTTTCGTGAAATTCTTCATCATTAATAACCACGAAATCTTTGAGTAATAATTCTTCGTCTTCTATCATTCCCATATCTTTCAGAGCCTTTTCTAAGACATGTTCTTTACAGCCTCCAGCTGCCACAATTATGTCCAAAAGGTCTTCCAAAATATTTTTTTCATCCTGTAAAAATTATTTTAAAATCTAGAATAAAAAAAACATTTTATTTCGAGTTTACCTCTAACTGTTTGAGTCCCTTATCAATGATTTCTACTGAGGGATGTTCTGAAGACAGATCTTTAATGAGTAAAGATATATCGGCTACTACGAATGCCATAGATAAAATTCCTGATATTTTGGCGAAGTCCTTCATTAAAGTTGGTATAGTTCTCCCTTAAAAAATGTAAATTTTAGATTAACTCCTTAAGATTATAAAGGGTGTTTCTTAAAGAAGTGCAAATATTTTAACTTGTAATGTAATAAATGCCGATTTTAGTTTTTATTTTGTACTTTGTACTAAATTTTTTAGAACCATAGGTTCATTTGAAATTTTTTCAACTTATATTATTTTACACGTAAAAAATAGTTTTTTACGTCAAGAACTTTTACCCACCCATCCCTGATAAATTCAAAAAACTGACATAATATAGCCGTACTCATTTTTTATATTTTACAGTTTTTCAAAAAAAAGTTTAGGCAAAACATGAAATATAATTTTTTCATCTTACTATTTTACACGTAAAAAATAGTTTTTTCCGCCAAGAACTTTTACCCACCCATCCCTGATAAATTCAAAAAAACTGACATAATATAGCCCTACTCATTTTATATATTTTACAGAGTTTCAAAAAAAGTTTAGGCAAAACATGTAATGAATTTTTTCATCTTATTATTTTACACGTAAAAATAGTTTTTTACGCCAAGGACTTTTACCCACCCATCCCTGATAAATTCAAAAAACTGACATAATATAGCCCTACTCATTTTTTATATTTTACAGAGTTTCAAAAAAAGTTTAGGCAAAACATGAAATATAATTTTTTCATCTTATTATTTTACACGTAAAAATAGTTTTTTACGCCAAGAACTTTTACCCACCCATCCCTGATAAATTCAAAAAACTGACATAATATAGCCCTACTCATTTTTTATATTTTATAGAGTTTCAAAAAAAGTTTAGGCAAAATTTTAAATATAATTTTTTCATCTTACTATTTTACACGTAAAAAATAGTTTTTTACGCCAAGAACTTTTACCCAGCCATCCCTGATAAATTAAAAAAACTGACATAATATAGCCCTACTCATTTTTTATATTTTACAGAGTGTTGCAAAAAAAAAGTTTAGGCAAAACATGAAATATAATTTTTTCAACTTACTATTTTACATGTAAAAAATAGTTTTTTACGCCAAGAACTTTTACCCACCCATTCCTGATAAATTCAAAAAACTGACATAATATAGCCCTACTCATTTTTTATATTTTACAGAGTGTTTCAAAAAAAAGTTTAGGCAAAACATGAAATATAATTTTTTCAACTTACTATTTTACATGTAAAAAATAGATTTTTACGCCAAGAACTTTTACCCACCCATCCCTGATAAATTCAAAAACTGACATAATATAACCCAACTTATTTTTTATTTGAAGCCTGTTTTTTGTATTTTACAGAGTGTTTCAAAAGAAAGGTTAGCAAAAATATGAAATATATTTTTTCAAAATTATTAAAAAAAGAAAAACTTAGGATTCTGTGTATTGTCAGTTGCATACGTAGATTTTTCATTACCTGTCAACACTAGTTAACATAACATTATTATTTAGTTTAAAGCGGTGTATACCTGTTAATCCCAGCACATTGTAGACAAACTGAAAACTCTTCTCAGTTATATGGAAAGTCTTGCCTAAAACAGGCAAAGTACCAATGGCAATATGTTCTAAATGATGCAATTTTGCGGCAGTACTCAACGTAGTTAAAACTGCATTAGTTGGTTTTTCTAAAATGTTTATAGCACCTTTTGCTATACCTAAAAAATATTTTGTTTAAAAAAATCAAAGACAGAAAAAATAATTATTTGCCTTCAATTATAGTAGAAATGGCAACATCCCTGCTTACTCCTTCTGAGACAAGCTGATCAATACACTCGTTGAAGTGGGAAAGACTTTTTTGCATCCACACATCAAACATTTCTTTTTCTTTAGAGAGGGTTTTGATATCTTCCATAATGATTTCTGTTGTTTTATAGTCTACATAGTCTGTTATCACATTAGTCAAGCTGCCTGTTACTGACATAACTGCTCCACCTAATATTTTTAATTTAGAAAATTTAGTGTTTTCTTACACTAAATTAAACAAAAAAAATGTGTGTGCACTATGTGTGCGTATTTGAAATGAAACTTCATATTAACAGTTATTAAAATGAAGAATCTGAAGGACATGTTTGGAAAAGTATAGTTTGAAATGTTGAAAAAGTAAAAATAAATTTAAAAATACTTTTTTACGCGTAAAAATGGTTTTTTACGGGTGATAAGTAGTTTTTTACACGTAAAAAATAGTTTTTGCGTGTAACAAATAATTTTTTACAAGTAACAAATAGTTTGTTATGCGTAAAAAATAGTTTTTTACTTGTAACAAATAAATGTAACCTATAAAACTATTTTTCACGCGTAAAAAATAACTTTTTATGTGAAACAAGTAGTTTTTTACACGTAAAAAATACTCTTTTATGCGTAAAAAATAGTGTTTTAGGTGTAGCAAATAGTTTTTTACGTGTAACAAATAGTGAAACGTAAAAGACTATTTTTCCGCGTAAAAAATAACTTTTAATATGCTCTAACCTGCTCCTAGTATCAGGGAACTTCCTGCAGTCACAGGGGCCCATGCCAGAGACCCTACAACCAGTGCAACTCCTGTTGTTCCCACTACCGTGCCTGATAATTTGGCAACGTTGTTTTTATAATGGTAATTTTCAGCTCTAGTCCTGAT